GTCAACAGTTTAACTCTTCGAGCATCAAATTGAGTAAGAATCCCTCACCTTATTTTCTGTTATGAAATTAAAGTCTAAATAAATAATAATACGGTATTTTGTGTAATTTAAAAAATATTCATAATTAATTAGAATTACTAATGGAAGCAGAATCAGAAATTATCTATTATTGATTCTGTTGAATTATTTTACAGTTAATTGTATGATAGTATTTCATTGATCGATTTTATAGTTTTGAATACATGTATTGTTTGATTTATGTGATTACCATTGAATTGGAAAATGGAGACTGAAGAAAAATAGAAAATTGTGTGATTAAGTGAATGAATAAAATGACAACCTTACTGGATATCCTGAAAGATGGTGGACGAACCAAGTACAATAGAAAACCCTACTGTGAATGTTATCTCATACTGGACGGGGTATCGAGACTTGGTAATTTGGTGCTCATATCGGACGGGGTATGGGGACGGCCCGTTTCACCCTCATACCAGACGGGGTATTGAGTTTTAGTAATTTGGCACTCATACCGGACGGGATATGGGGACGACCCGTTAATTGAGAATTTTAAAGGAAATGGTTCACGCGTAGTGGCGATATCCCTATGAACCCCCATGGATACTAGTAAGCTGATAGAAATGGACAGTTGTTGTTTAATTTATTGAATATAGATTTATAATGTGCGCATGTTACCGATTGCATATGAAATCATGATAAGGGTTATGTTATTGTCTCTATATGTTGTTTTTATAAATCTCGCTATTGTAAGTGAACGATATATGGTTTTATTATTAATAAATGTATTTATTTAATTAAGTGCTCCATTAGTTGTTTTGATTTTCTACCACTCTTCATTTCTGTGTCGGTGAGTAGCATGATATTCTTACTGGGCTAATATAGCTCATTTCTCATTTAATTATTTTATATCAAGAGGACCAAGATTCAGAATCCAATCCACAAGAGAGTTGCGAGTATGATACTAGTTTTATTTATTTTCCGTTTATTTTCTTATTTTTTTGTATTTCTTTCAAAATGGTAATTCTCGTAGCACTATTCGATACTTTAAGTTATTATGTAAGGAATGTAAAACTTAACCATTTATTTCGCTTCCATGTTTAATTTATAATTTATTTTCTTTAAATATTCTGGGACCGTTACATTATGAGTTTTTCAAAACTAACCTGTAAGACAAACACCTATATAACATTTATAATTTCATGTACAAGTGAGTAAAATTAGTCATTACCCTTTTTTTACCTGCTTACTGGACTCTTGGGGGTCTATAGGGACGTCTTCCTACTCGTGAATTCAATATCTAAATTTATCAATTTACCTAACCGTCCTCATACCCTGTTTGGTAATGGGCACCAAATACCATCAACTCGATACCCCGTTCAGTATAAGATGAACTATCTCTCCCAAACCCTTTCGGTATAGGACTTCTCAACCCCGTCCAACTAAAGTAATGTCCACAATAGGGTTTTTTATGTACCAGGTCCATCTACCCTTCCACAGGGTACCCAGTAAGCTTTCATATATATAGAATCTCATCGTCCAAATAACCACCAATCGCATACCAACATCTCATTATTTATTCATAGATTAATTTAAATGACATCTAAGCAAACGATACAATTTAACATAATCGAATAACCAAGTAACCAGATAACTTTTTGCCCAATAAACCAAGTATCCCTATAATGGTAATTTGCTTACATTAGTGCTACACCCAAAACACCATCATACTTCATAGTAGCATAAGAGGCCTAGAAAAAAGCCTCTTTGTCCTAAAATTTCTCTCCAACCACAAAAAACACAACACAAGAAAAAGAGCTCTTAAAGAAATCAGCCTGGCTTCCTTGTTCTTTCCAAACCACAAAGTGAAGAAGAGAAAACCCTATAGAGGGGAATGGAAGTTTGGAACTGCTGATATTAAAATTTCTAAAAAATTTGATGCTTGAAAAATTTTG